TTAAGTCTCTGGCCTTTGAGATTTTAATAAGCGGAAAGAAGTTTTGCATTTATTTAGTATGGCGTGTACAGCACAAGGAAATCTCTGTGCTTCTTAAGTAGAATTTATATTTTTCCAAGGCGCAAGGTGTGTTATGTTATATAATTATCATGTCCGATATGAAGATGATAGATCAACCTGAAGTGCCACTTGGACACTCCAGTATTTGTCGCGCATTGTAAACTTCAATTACTGATATTTTATATTTTATATTTGAAACTAAGTACAGTATTATACAGATTTTAGTGTTTAATTAATAAATGTACATGTATGCGATAAGTTCACGCCTTATGAAATATTGATCAGTTGTTCCTTTGTATTTACTGTACTCAATTGGCGTATATCGTGCCCGAATCCTGCTTTCCATTGTTGCAAGACTGTGACTCGTATTTACCGCACATTGCTATTTATAGTTGTATAGTCATCTGACTTTGGATATGATAGTAGTAATTTCTTATTAGCAAACATGGAAAGAAAATTGGAGTGCGATATAAAGAAACATTACTTCAATTAATATAGGATTGCACATTATTTGATGTTATGAGATCTGGGTTATTAAAAATGTACATAGAAATACACACACACACACACACGGAGATTTTCTTGAAGTCATGATTTATTACTTTGTTAACTGATGTACAAATATTCTGTCTTTCTCTTTTAACCTTCTATTTCTTTTACATGTATTCTGTCATTCTTTCCTTTTTAAAAAATAATTTAAAGTTAATGCATATGCAAGAAGTATAGTTGGAAGGTAGTTATTTGAAATTTAAATTGATTCTAGTATATACCTACGAATAGTGGTATTTATCATACTTGATTGAATTTCTCTACTTTATATATTATTTATGATTTTGATGTTTTCAAACTATTTGGCATTAGTTAGTTCTACTAATATAATACTTTTCAGCTTTTTTTCAAAATTGAAAAATAATGAAATTGGTATATGAGACTGAAGGAACTTTTTGATGACTTTCAATATCTTAAACTATAATTTGCATTTATATGCTTATTGTAATTTCATGTTTTTTATATTGCATCCAGCATTTTTTCCACAACTGCATTATGCAAAATGGAAATCCAAGAATACTTTTAACTTGCTAATAAGGAATTATAATATATCAGAAATTTAATATATTAAGTTATGTGTATTACTATTTAACTAATAAATAATAAACTTAAAAATAAGAGTTTCACTTTCTACTTTTCGGCTTATTATTTGTTACTGCACGTGATAATATCTATATTTAATTATATATAACAATAAATGTAAGTTGTAATGGCAAATTAGAAATAGCGAAGATTTTAGCAAGATTTAAAAATCTATGAGATTTGTATGTACGTGATATAAAACATTTTTAAAATATTTTTTTTGAATTTATATTGAGCTAAACATTTTTGTTTTAGGGGTTAGCTGTGATTCCTGCTTGAAGGGAAATTTTCGGGGTCGTAGATACAAGTGCCTCGTATGCTACGATTATGATCTATGTGCCAGCTGCTACGAGGGAGGCGCCAGTACCACTCGCCACCTCACAGATCATCCTATGCAATGCATACTTACTAGATCTGACTTTGGTAAGGCTCAAATTTAAAATATAATGTTTACTTTACTAATAATTACAAATATTAACTATATATTATATAGAATAATTGAAAAGTATTTTATATATTTCAACTTTTTTACATATTACAGCAGAATATATAAGAAGAAAGATATTTATTTTAATGCCAAACTCTTATACTTAACACTGCGCGGACACCGTGTTTTTGGAACACTCACCCCGGACACCCTGGAACTTTTAAGGGGCTTCCCTAGTGTGACAGGGCCTAAAATGAATAATTTTTAAAAGGAAACCGACAAAGCTAATTGATGAACAACTTTTCTGATGAACATATTTTATTATATTAAGAGTGCATACAAATTTTTTCAAAATTTTATATCTGTTATTAAAGCTTGTGCCAGCCATTTTTTGGAGCGCCGCGAAAAAACGGTGACCACGATTGCAGCCGTTGTAGTTATCTGAAACAAAAAAGCAAAAGGATTCTTAATCTACTTGAGTGTGGCTATCGTCTGAAGCAGAATCATGAAAAAATATTAAAAATTTAAAAATTTGTAGCTAAAAAACCTCTGCTAAAAAAGACGAAAATAATTATAATCGCTATAATTTTTTAAATTTTCAATATTTTTTCATGATTCAGCTTCAGACGATAGCCACATTCGAGTAGATTAAGAATCCTTTTGCTTTCTTGTTTCAGATAATTACAACGACTGGAATCGTGGTCACCGTTTTTTCGCGGCGCTCCAAAAAATGGCTGGCACGGGCTTTAATAACAAATATAAAATTTTAAAAAAATTTGTATGCACTCTTAAAATATAGTAAAATATGTGGGAAAAGTTGTTCATCAATTGGCTTTGTCGTTTTCCTTTTAAAAATTATTCATTTTAGGCCCTGTCACACTAGGGAAGCCCCTTAAGTCCGAAGGGTTTTTAAAAGCGTTTCTGTGTTACAAAAAAATTTATAAAAATTAATGTATTGTCTTTAAAGTTTCAAAAAGTGATTTCTATTCTTACATAAGCCGGAACTGTTGCATTTTTTTTTAAGTGTCAGGAGAAAACTGTAAAATACAAAAAATCGACTGTGCCTTAAAAGACAGTGTCCGCGCAGTGTTAAATAGTTATAAATGCCTAAGAAATAATGAATTTTGCAAATTAAACTTCTAGTTGCGTGATTAGATAACATTCTTTAGTGATGAAATAAATTATTTTTTCAATTATATTTCAATTAATTTTCTTCAAAAATTGTAAATATATAAAAAAGCCGTGTACAAAGCAAATGCATTATAATTATATAATAATATTAAATAATTTATAGTTGGAAAATGTTATGATTAAAAGGTTAAGATTAAAATTTATTAATTCATTTGTAAATGATTAACTTTCCAATAGAATTATACTATGGTGGCGAAGGAGTGAGTGTCGAACAGCCCCAATCTTTGACTTGTCCCTACTGTACAAAAATGGGCTTTACCGAGGCTACATTACAAGAACACGTTGCTGCTGATCATCCGGATATTTCGTTCGAAGTCGTACGTGTATAAATAGTAAAAAGAGATAAAATACATAATGATTACGTAAGTATATCTATAACTTGTATATTTTTTGTAACAGGTTTGTCCAGTGTGCGCAGCAGTGCCAGGTGGAGATCCTAATCATGTAACTGATGATTTCGCTGGCCATCTGACACTAGAACACCGCAGTGGGCCAAGGGACCTGATCTCCTTTCTGGATGAACCAACTGCAAGTAGACACGGTGTTAGACGGATACCGCATCCATCTAGAGCCGTTGGAGCTCCACGTGGACGTAGGTATGTACAAAATTACAGATATCTATTGACCAATTTACTCATCAATTTAACATTACATAAGATTATTTCCTATATCATATAAATTAAAGTATTTTTTATTGAAAAGATTGATATTAATTAAAATAAATTTTTTTATAATTATTATATTTTACAATTGATTATAATATTTATAGACTTTATCTTTGTACAGAATTTTGTAATAATGTTAGTAGATTTTTTTTTGCAAATTTATATTTTTTATATTTTTATGAATAGGTTATTTCATAAATACTGTATCTATCTGCCGATAGATTGTGATAAATTGTAAATACTTTTTCCTTAATGAAAATTTGACAGTGTTATGGTTATGATTAACTACAAGGTCTTAATATCATTATCATCATTGTTATCATGTTATCTCAGATCATGTTCATTAGAGCATTATTGGACCTGCAGGTCCAACATGCATTTCAGTTCATCTGGAGGGCTGAGCCCAAGTAATCGTGAAGGCATAGATCCAATTGCGGAATTGCTGTCTCAATTGTCAGGAGTACGCAGAAGTGGAGGCGGAAGTGGACAAAGTACATCAGCACCTACACAATTACAGCAATTACAAATGCAGTTGCAATTAGAGCGACAACAAGTTCGGGTATAATTCATTTTTATCTTGGAAAAAAAACAAATATATGTATATATTTTTTTGTAATGTTTATTAGGTTATGCATAATCGCAGTGTCATGTATGTCATTAAGTTTGAAGAATGTTCAAGTCGAATTGCGTTGAAATATAGATATCATGATTACATCGTTTAAAGCTGTGTCTGATAGCTGGCTATTTGATAGTATTGAATATTTAATACACGTAAAAGCTTAATTGTAAGGTGAAAATAACAGTTTATGAAGTATTGAAGTAATTGGTTGAAAAAAATTAATTGGAACGTTCAGTTATGAATATATATATATATATATATATATATATGTATGTATATAGAATAGTCTCATATGCTACATAACTTAAAATTAATCTCAGACTGATACATGGCGCTCATTACACATTTACTTATACTGATTGAATATTTTGACTTTTTTGTTACCTTGTTTTCCGTTCTCTCTCTCTTTTTTTTTTGTTTAATAATATATAGAGGTCGTTTGCTGAAATTATAAATGTTATAACTAGAAATGTGTAACAATAGATATTTATAAATAAACATAATAGAACATTAAAAGGTCAAATAGAATAAAGAAAATAGTGGAGTGTTTAGAAGAGAAAGAAGAGATAAATCTTCAAAAATTTTGTTTAGTCAGTTATTGGCTGAGTTAAATTATTGAGTTTAGTTGGTTATTGACTTAAAGTGTGTTAAATTATCGAATTTTGATTATTTAAATTACTGACTTCAATTATTGAGTTATTGACTTTAATCCAAGCGAGAAAGAAACATTTGAACAATGCTAATAATGAATTATGCTAATATAAGGTAATTATTTATTAATTTTTGATGACTTATTCTGCTGATGTAGCAGAATATATTATTGATATTATATGTGCGATTAATTTATATATTAGTATTTAATATTTTCTATTACTATATTGATAATTATTTTTATGTGTTTATTATTATTGGTAACTTGTGAATTGCTTAAATAATTTATTATTCCAATAGTCTTGTGATTTTTATAAAAGAGATTGAACAAGTAGTTCACTTTTTGTTCCCAGTCAGCTGTAGTTATTCCTTGTAGCAAAAGGATTAATTATCTTTTACATATTAAGCAATATGGTTACTAAAATAAAATCTTTTTAGGCTGCCAGACAACAACTCGAAAGATTACCCAGAAGACAGACGCAAGTGATCGGTTCTGTAAGTGGAGGCAGCGGGGGTGGCAGCGGCGGGGGTGGCGGTCATACTACTACTATGGGGACAACGAACAGTGCAAGTAGTAATAATAACGCGACCAATGCGGCCAACCCGTCCGGTGTGTCTTCGACTAATTCACAGAATAATATGTCCCTGTTACCCAGGTGTGTATTTCCCTTTCAGATCTTCAATTAATAACATGTATTTCAAAGTTACAGGTATAAAATATTGTTTATAGAATTTTTTTATTTATATTAGTCTCGTTAAGTAAATAAGTCTAGTTAATTTCAAGTACATTTTGTTTACGTGAAGTATTAATTTAAATTATTCACATATATTTAAGATTAAAAATTCATGCAATATACAAAAGAACAATAATCAGTCAAGCTTGCATTCTAATAAAAAAAATTTACTAATTTTTTTCTCAGTCTATATACAAAATGTACAAGCTCACGTGTTGTAAATAGCTGCCAAAAACTATATTATAAATATCTACGTATCTATTTTGGACAACACTGATATGCATTTTGTTATATATCAACATGTGGTATTTATAATTGAAAAATATATACTCACGAGCAGTAAAAAAATACATGTATACGTTTAATTTGAAAAACGAGAAGAACGAATATTGCGATATTCGATTATTTTACTTGGTAAATCTGATTGTCCGTCTTCACGTTTGTACAGATGCATCATAACCACGCCGTCTGACTCACAACTGCAAAGTATTGAACGCGAGAGTGCAAATAGGAGCCTGTTTGCACGTGAACTTATTGTCGGAACGCTTTCCCAAACATTGTCAGAATTGATGCAGCAACAGTGCGCTGTGCAAACACCGGCGTCGAATGCGACTACTGCCACGACCAGTCCTGAAACACCAAACGCCAATACTTCCATTGTTTCTGCGAAAAAATTGGGAGTAACTCAGGAAGCGAAGAGGGAACAAGCGACAAGTAAACACGTGACATCACAGGCACCTGTGCAACAAAAAGAATCGCATATTCTGCAGGCTGCTGCTGCTGCTGCTGCTACTACTACTGGCAGCGTAGGTTCAGGTCTGCAAAATCAGGGCTTATCCTCGAATCCTAATAGCATTGCAACACAAAATCCACCTATAGTTCAAACATTGATGCATAGTGTATTACCTCAGCCATTGGTAAGCATCTATTTTTCTGGCAAATAATATATGTTAAAATATTATATGTTAAAATTAAGCATAATTAGAGACCTAAAGTGGATGAAAGTAATATATATGTTATATTTGAAACTCGATGTAGCAATATCTAGCATCTATATTTCTCAAAAATTATCTGTCACAAATTTGAGAGTTGATCATTTATCTCACTTATTGTATTTAATTTTACTGTTTCACTTTACATGATACTTATGTCAATGTTATTTTGAGACGCGCTATGTCTAGTTCCAGACGACATTATCGGAACAACAGTTGATACATGGTAGAAAATCGAAATAGTCCTCATAGAATTTCGTGTGACTTAGGTACTGCAGCAACCACTGCCGCCACCAATTAGGAATACTGGTACCGGAACTATCAGGGAACCGATAGCAGCTCCGGCGCCCGCTTACCTCAGAGGTGGAGTTGGCTCGGTCGGAGTGACAGGCTCTTCGCGTAGGAAGCCGGTTAGGGCAGTAGATGGCAGAAACCAATCTACGGAACCGCCACCCCCACACTAACCCCTCCTTAGCCCGTGTACCCATCCTCCACCCTGATTCCTCACACAGGATCCCCTAGCACTAGTCCTAGCACTGTTTAGAACACCTCATCATTATTGTTATTATTATAATATTATATATTAATAATTATTCGAAACGCCCTCTCCTTTCTTCCTCCTCCTCCCTCTCATCCATGTCCTCATCCTTTTGTGCCCTAATGCTACTACAAAACTTTCCCGAACTTTAATCTCGCCATTTTTGCTGTTACGTGACATGGAACAAGGGCAAGGGCTGATTCGCTGGCCACTGCGGCATCTTTGCGAATAATAATGTACATAACTCACACTTCTTGCAGTCATGCTCGAAATATATAGAGTTCGTTCGCGTGTACTACTCTTCTTCGAATGAGTCTTGCCACGTTCTTCCACGCTGACGTGCTACCACGATACGGCGTTATCTTTTACCCGCTGGAGAGCAGGTGTTTGCGAACCAACACAAAAATGTATTGTAAAAAGAGGTTCTTACGAAGACGAAGCGACATTAGCGTTTGTTGTTCGGTTATTGAGGTATCGAAGAATAGTACGAACACGCAAAAGGATAAATACACGCAAAAGGGTACTTGGATCAGCATACTGACATAAGAATTCAGCAATATACTTGTAGTATATATTGATCCAATGATGGTGAATGAATGTGTACGCGAATGTAGCTTTTCCATATTGCATTTTGCGTATGTTATACACGATTGCCGTCATGATACGAAATGCGAGAGGTTTTATTGATCAACATACCCGGTGCAAATCGAACGATCGACCGCTAATGTATACTTGTAATACGATACGTCTCCCTTTTTTTTTCAGATAAAAATATACGAATGCAAAATCATGCCTGGGCTGGTCCGTAATACTAACGCTTTTAAATTGCTTTAACCTACAGATAACTTCTCCGGCGCACTAATAATGGAAAAAATGATACACAAAACGATTGTAGGAACGAATGTCACGAATGGTATAACAGTGCAGAACAACGTTGCTGCATATTTTTCAGATGACTACTTAGATTATAATTCTCGTTATAATAGACTCCTGTATGCTTTACAATCAATAAATCATTGGTATAATGTACGAGAAAGTCATTTATAGTCTATAATTATCATTTGTAGTCTACACGAACTTCCTTTATCTTTTAACTCGTTTAAATAGAGTTTGTTCGCTGTGGCATTTTACACAATTTTACATCGTAGACTAAACAAACGAAGGGATTTACGAAAAGAATGAATTATATTAAGGGAATAAATTTTATGTATTAGACTTTAGAAATAGATGTTTAATTGAATTAGATATAATTTAGTAAAAATCGGTACTGGCGGACCATCCCTTGGCATACTTATGGCATAAAATGTCGTAAAGTGGAGAGATTACATTTAGATATTATAAATTATGATTTTATGTCAGCCGTTAAATTAACATTTCAAAATATATGGTTTCTAGAGTGTTTATGTTTTAAATGTATTTAATGTTTCACTAATATTTAGTGTTCACCAAATTATAAATTTCAAGATTTAGTGTTGTATATTATGGGAGCTTCCCAGCAAGCGACACAAGTCGGCACAAACATCGTTCTATCTTTCTTTTTTTGGCAATGAGTAACAAAGATATGTCGACTTGTGTCGCTTGCAGGCAAGCTCCCGATATAATTTTACATTAGATGTAAACTTGTGACGCATAGAATTGAGAAATAAGGCTTTTTTTTAAATTAGTCACTCCATTTTAAGACGTTAAACAATTGCAGTAACCGTAAAAAAAAAACTTGTTCTATCACAATTATACTTGGATCTATATATTTATATTCGTTAAAAAGCGTAAAGTAAAAAAATTTTTCATATCGTGATCCGATAATGGAAAGTGTTCAAATTTTTCTTTTCAATTTTGTCGAAAACAAGCCAAGTCTTTCAAATATATTAAATTTTTTTTTAATAGAGATATATTTATTTCTATAAAACACACGCGAAGGTAACATCGGTAACATTGTATCGGAGTGTGCGTGCGATGTAATACGGATGCATTTGTAAGATTTCTACCGAGAGTAGAAAATTTCGAAGATGCTCGTGTACATCAGCGTTATCTGCTTTTCTCGTTTCTTTTCTTCGAATACTATTCTTCCTTTTCTTTCTTTTGCATGTTCACTAGTCCGTATACATGATATCTCTTGCCCCGTCTCGTTAATGTTTTCAATCCAAATTGTCTGTCACCTAAGATCCCGTGTGAGCGTGTATCTGCAAGATGTGGTGGCTCTGCAAACCCCCCTCTGAGCGTTTTACAAAGTGTGCAAAAATGATATATACACGCCGTGTAGATCCACGAGAAAAAGAAAGAAAGAAGAGTTAAAATATTTAGTGTGCAAATCTATTACGATAGAGTATGAACTTCAGAGCTTGATCATCTTATTTTTTTGTGCGCAAGATCGAGAAACTTCAAAACTAAATTTAAACGAAAAGTAGAAAACAGATTGTAAAGGAAACTTGTTGAACTTTTAATTGTCGTTTCTCCGATGTTCTTGGATGTTTTGCTTGTCTTTCCACCCGTACTCGATATACTTTGAGCAAGTGATTTACTTTTTTAAATAGTTATTCACGATCTTGTATTTCGTATTGTGTAATTAGTTGCAATTTACAGAAGAATAGATCCGAAACGTAAATAAAACGGGGTGCACTTAATTGCCTTAATGCAGGATGCCTGAAAAAAAAAAAAAAATTAGGATTCGACAGCCTCTCTTTGAGAAGCGGATGTGCCTGCATTTGCGAAAGTCTCTGCGCATGATGCTCCGTGATGAAGTTAATACTGTACTGAGCTAATCTTAATAAACGTATGCGTATGTAAAATTATCAAATTGCGGATATTGAGCGAATTTATTACACCGCCGTACATTATACGAACCGAGTGTTCAAATCAACGACGATTCAACGCCTAATCCGGGAGTTTGTGTTCAGGAACGAAGCAAGACTCTAGTACAAGTTTAGTTTCTTTAATTTTGTGCCAGTTTTCTATGAACGGTCAGAAGCTATATTTTTCTTGGAATCCAAATCCAAAAATTGCGATACACCACACTACACTACTTTTTTTTATTTATACGCGAGAAGTTATGTTTCCCTTGTTTACACGTCACTATTTTCATATCAAATTTTTCCTTTTTTCTTTACTCCATCTCTATTTGTTATTTACGGCGCAATATGCCATATCATTGCGAGATAATTTTTAAAGATTTCTACAAGATAGATCTTTTCAAATTGAAAATTATCAGCCCTTCCCAGTTATTGTCAACCGAGACTCGATTTTTGAATTGATTTTGGAATTTCATTCGTAGAGTATGAAGCGAACTATAAGGATTGTGAGGGAAAGGAATTCAGGATTTGAAGGAACTCAGGATTTGTTTATGCAAGTAAAAATGTATCCCGAGCAGAACGGAATCGAGCGCAACAACATCATTGTAGTTCTCCAAAGGAAGAGAGAGCGTACGACATTTCCCTTCCTCATTTCTTTTTCATCGAGCAAGATCATCCCTTTTTCTCCACG